CATCATAAGCACCCATCAATGTTCCCAGAGCCTTCACTTCAGCCAAAGGAACTTGACCTGATAGGGCTGCAGAAACCTTGTCAAGTGAACACAGACCTGAATTTCAAAACAAAAGCTCTTCCCTGTAGTTCCCACTCTGCTGGATTTTTGCCCCACTGGATCCCCCTCTAGGCTGCTCACACAACCTGTGTTTGGCATTCAGCAGATGCCTGAAGTGTTGCTAGTGCCTGCCTCGCCTGGCAGAGTGGGGCTGGAAAGCAGTTGAATTAAGTCATGTCCTAAAACACTTCTTTTCCGTACTTGTCCTTTGTACTCCTCTCTCACAACCTCCCCTTGGATATAACATGAGTTTCTGTGGCTTACCACAGAGTACTTACCAGCCCTTACCTCCCTTCCTTTCCCAGGGTTTCCTCATGAGCAGGTCCTACAGTACCACTGTGATGGCTCTGGCCCCTCCTGCTGGAAACACCTGGTCCTTTGGCCCTGAATCCAGGGCCATTAGCCCTGAGCAGTGAGGAGCAAGATGAGGCACACTGGCTGCCTTCTGCAGAGCATGTAAGTGCCAGCCTCACTTCCATATTGCAGGGATATAATAATTCCCTTTTCCTGGGAACATGGGCTAGGCTCTGGCAGTAATTTTGCTATCGGCATCCCAAGGGTGAGTCAGGAATCTCCAGTAATAAAAATTACCACCATAAAATTTTGGTGGCACTTGCATCTTTCTTTCCCTAATTTTAACTTTTTTTATTAACCTCCCTTTCAATACCTCGCTCCAGAGGTGCCTCTGCAAACAGCACCCACTTCCACTGCTCAACTACCAGCTTATGCTCCCAGATGAACACCAGCCCTGTTTCAAGGTCTTCTCCTCAAAATGGTTTAGTACTTCCGTTCGTGTTGCTCCAGGATGCCCATGCACCTGGCACCGAGCAGACTCCCTCTGCAACTGCCTGATCAATCACAGAAGGAATTGATTTGACTACACAGAGGCAGATCAAGATCTTCCAAAGCTGTAACAGCAGTGGTCACTGTCATCTGAATCTGTAAAAAACCAGATTCAGACATGGAGGAGGTAAGAGGTAAAACCAAAGTAAAATTCACTGGTTTTTAAGAACACCTGGTTATTTCCATTAGCATCCTGCACTTAGTAATTCAGCCCCTTCACCTGACCCCTGTGTCAGTCACTCTGATCAAACCAGTAGAGAACCCTTCCCCTTCACTTGGCCATTCATGTTCCAGGGTTTATAGATCTATGAATCAACAACAAACATAATTAAAAGACTTTTTTATTAAAAATCAACATATATATACATTTGTACATTCCACATACCGCTGTATATGTTCACCAAATAACCACTGAGTCCGAAAGCCTTAACAGTACAGATTTCCATCTGAATGAATTTACTGCAGGGGAACTTCAGTTTTGCAATCAATCAGATATTACAGAATGTCATTAACTTCTTTTCTTCTTTTCCCTTAAAAAGTAGCAGCACATTTAATTACCAGTGTTCACAAGGCATAAGCCCCAAAGTGTTGTACAGTAAGAGAAAAATTAATTAGCAAATGTAGGCAATAGGAAGAGAGCTCACAAAGAAAATGTATTAGTTGCTGCCTATTATGAACAGCAGGATGTTAATAAAACACTTAGAGCCATGCTGAATAGAGGCAAGAATTATAAAATAAAAAATTACTTCTTGATAGAACAGTATAAAACAAAATACTTTTCAATGTCATTCAGGACAGGAGTCCTGCAAAGAACAGATATTGTTATAAAGACTCAGCAGAGTCAGGATAATGCTTGTGTGTTTAAACACGTAATAAAGTTTTCAGAAAACACAGACATACTCCATCCCTACCACCACCTTTCCACAGCTCAGGTTAGTAGGTTTTCATGTGGTTGATGTAAAAAAGAGACATTTTACTGAAGACAAATGTGCTCAAGACTTCCCCAGACCTCTCAAGATTTATACCTATGTCAATTAAGTGCTAGAAAAGATAACAAAGGCTGGAAAGTTTCTGGAGATTGGGAGCAGAGGGAGCAAAGAGAGAAGTTATCATTGTAACCTGGACTCCTGAGCACAACTGAGTCACCACAGGATGGGCTGTCTAAGGAAGGCAGTTCATAGGTACCTGTGGTGTGCTCTGTGTAATAAATCCCAAATGCTTACTTTCTACAGACTTTGACAATATTACAAGAATACTGATCTCAATGTGACAACTTATTCATGTAAATAGAGGAAATGAAGATGTAATTGAATTCTTTCTCATGAATGTACAGCATGACTCTTGTTTTGAGCAGTGTCGGATTCTGAGCAATTTTTTCTCATTAGGATTTTTCTTCTTTTTAGCTTAAAGAAGGAAAAACTGCATATGATGACATATCCATATCATAGGTAATTTTTATGTGAGGAAGTATGTAGATATGAAAGGGTAGGAGAAGGTTTAACAAGTGCTTTTTGGATGTGCAATCAACTGTAACAGTGGATAGCTAAAAAAGTCAGAGCTGCAATATTTCAGTAAGTAGAAGCTACATGTTAAGCAAACGTCTCAGTTATCTGCATAGGCATTTGAAGAGAGACTAATTCCAGTTATCATGTCCTGAATCACAAACACACTGTCACATAAAAAAAATCCATCTGAACTTCTGTTTTGGTTTTCACACATAAAAGTTGGAGGAGACTCCCTGGAAAAAGGGACAGAGATGAATTATAAACAATTTAGCAACAGTTAAAACTAAGAAGAAATATTCTGACAGAATCTCCTCTCTCCAAGGGCAGGTCTAAGACACCACATTGCCTGACTGTAGATAAAAAGATTGCATCAAGCTAAACTCCCAGAAGGCATTTAATATCCAAACTAGAAGGATGGTCAGAGAAATATTCTTCTTCCCTGGCTCTCCTCCTTCACATATCCAGTCAGCAACTAGATTGCCAGTCATTGCCTTCACACTGCTGCAGCCATACCAGAACTTAACACACTGCTACCCCAGGACTTCACATACATAAGCCAAGAATGAACAAACTGACAGTGGCAAAATAAAAAGAGAAATGAACTTGTTCCCCAGCGCAAAGTTCTCTTACCCAAGAGGTGTTGCAGTTGTCCTACCCAAGGAAATTTGAATGCAGTCCTTTCACAGATTTCCTGGTGACAAAGTACAGAATACCAAGCACCACTCTGACACAGGCCAATGTCTCCACTGGTCCAGTAATATCCCAACTGCACACACAGTGGAACAGCATTGTCCTCCTGCCACCTCCCTGCTGAGCTCTTGCTCTGCCTCAGCCTTACACTGCTTTTTTTTTTTTCCTTTTATTACCTAGGGATTTCCATACTTATTCATCCGAATGAGCTGTAGTGTAAAATTTAGAAAAGAAACAGGTAACAATGTATGAATGAAATGTCAATACCTCTTGAGTTCACATTTTAGGGAGGGGGGAGACCTAAAAGAATTAGATGTCCCCAATTTAAGTATTAATCACACTTTTGAATACCTACAACTGCAAATATGCTAATTTGCATTATTCTGATTTCTGTATTTATTCAGTATGTACAATTACTATTTCTGCTGCATTTTAGCCAAAACACACATCTGCAAAAAAAAATCTTAATAAAGGATTGTTTAATCTTTTACAGACATACCTTTTCATGCAATAACAATTAAGAACTTTCCTGCGGTCTGGAATGATACAATATTTATTCTATTGCAACAGCAGTTGACAAGATTAGATTCATCACTACCTGGTGGCTAGAATTAGTCTAAATCATGGAGAAGGGTCTTTGTTTTAGTACTCCTTATTAAATAGAACAAAAAGCACACTGAAGATGGTGGCAGCAAATGAAAGTATTTTTTATGAAATATGCAGGCTACTGCACCCAAGTCTTACAGGGTCTTTGTAAAAACCACTTCTCTACCAGCAAGTATTTTGAGGACTGGGGACTACAAATTTGTCTATGTCATCATTGCCAGCTGTACACACAGTGTTCAAAACCCACAAATACAAGATAGTCTGCTCATACCAGTGCCACAGCAGAATCACTCCAGCCTGAATGGAGTCAGAAACTCTTTGTAGTGCCTCTCACTAAATATGGCTTACATATCTTAGTAGAAAGCACTACAAAATTCCTTACTTGGGTTTTTAAAAATAAATTAAACACCACGGTTATACTTTTCTAATTTCAAAAAAGATTCAAAGGTCTTTTGCTTGAAAGCAAAGTACTCCTCACCTTGAGTGCTGTGTCCAGTTCTGGGGCACTCAACACTAAAAAGATGTTGAGCTGTTGGAATGAGGCCAGAGCAGGGCCATGCAGGTGATCAGAGGGCTGGAGCACCTCTCCTATGGCTGAGAGCCGGGGTTGTTCAACCCGGAGAAGAGAAGGCTCTGGGAAGACCTTATAGTACCGCCCAGTACCTGAAGGCAGCTCATGAGAGAGCCAGAGAGGGACTTTGTACCCATGTAGTGATAGGACAAAGGGCAGCTTTAGATCAGGTGTTAAAAAAAATTCTTCAGAGGGCAGTGACACACTGGGCCAGGTTGCTCAGAGCGGTTGTAGACACCCCGTCCCTGGATGTGTTCAAGACCAGGTTGGATGAGACTCTGAACAACCCGGCCAAGTGGAAGGTGTCCCTGCCCCTGGCAGGTGGATTAGACTAGGTGATCTTTAAGGTTCCTTTCACCCCAAACCATTGTATGATGCTATGAGAAAGAGATGGATGTCTTTTTCCCCTGGATGAGGTCCAGCTGCCCCTTCTTGGGGGTAGCACTACACTCAGAAGGCAGTTTCATAAGCCAGTCTTTCTGTGAAAGGAGACTGCATTTAGACAAGGCTCTCAGACATGCAGTGTGATCCTTGGGGTGTCCTGCACAGGGCACGAGCTGGACTCAGTGCTCCTGTTGGCTCCCTTCCAACTCAGCATATTCTATGATTCTATAAAGTACCATGCACATACTCCATTTTGCTGAAAGTCTCCACTGATCGGAATGCTGAAACAGGGATCAGGTGCATGCTGGTCAGTAAGCTTGGCATTTATTAGAGCTTTACAGAATTAAAAGAAATGCTTTAAACTTTGAGATACTTAACTTTTATTTAAAGTTGTCATTTTTCTGAGTTCTCTTGGGGGAAGCAGCTTCTTTTAAATTATCAATTTAAAATGGTTAAATAGCAATGTGAATACAGATCAGAGCAACTAAATAAGGGGTTTGTGTTGTTATTTGAAAAACCTTAATTTACAGAATGTTTAGTAGAATATAACAAATCCAGTACCCCTGTAGTGTACTTTTGTAGATTTCTTGCCAATTATACCTTCTTTCTGTGGTTCTGATTGCACAAAGTCATCAACAAGGACTAAAACCTGTTCTCATGGTGTTCCAACCTGCCTAAGTTATGTTATAGCAAACACTTCTCACGTAATCTGTACAGTTATGTATCAGCTACATCTTAGTCCTCCAAAGAAACTCTAGAATGATAAGATCAATTTATTCAACTGTATGTACAGTATATTTGCATATTAATAAATAAATCAATATTAAACTTAAGGTCTCTTCCCCCATATAAAAGTGACTACAGTCTGACCAGACAATCTTTGTTGCTTTTTCTTTTCTTCTTCCAAGCACACCTGTGTGACTGAGGCTGGCAGTTTCCACTTAGTTTATTACAGTGACTGCAGGAGCTGAAACCTAACAGACCAGTGCTTACATTTAAATTCCATATAGTAGGTGGATGGGAGGGACGTACTAAAAAGTGCATCAAGACCCAACATTTTGTAGAGAAAAAAAAAAAGTTCATAATGTGATCCTGGGGAAGAGAATCCAGCCCAAAAGAAGACATGCTGCAGCAAACATAATCGACGCATGTTTCTGTCTTGATGGCAAGCTGCACCACGCCAATCTTGTCCCGTCATGTTTCAAGAATTCCAACTCAATAGATGCCATCTCCACCTCTACAAACTTATGAACACCATATTCAGTGCAAAGTGACAGTTCTTAAAATAACTGTTTGCCTTGACTCCTTAACATTCATCCTCACTGTGAAGAAAAGGCTCATTTTCTTTAATTGTTTATTCCTATATACAGAAGAGCCCATATTTGCACCTCTCCATGTCTGGTAGTGAATTTTTTTTTTCCTATCTACATTCATTAGAAATCAGAAATATAAGTGGCAATATTTCATATTTACTGGAAGTCTTCCCATTAACCCAAAAAACTAGCTGTCCATCTTGATTTATACTTAAAGTAGCTGCACTTCATTCTTTCTCTCCAGCCCACTTTCAGTAGGGTAGAAGTCATGGGAACCTGTGGGACTGGAACACAGTTCAAGTCTGATTGCTGGAGCTGGAAGAGTGATGAGTCACATTTGAATTCAGATGTCTGTTGGCAGCACAGTGCGTGTGGACCACACTCCCATTTGGGTATCTTACAAATACAGGCTCACAGAAAGGATTCTGGCACACCTGACAGACCTTTTTGTCTGAAAGAAGAATTGGGGTTCCTCTCTGTTTAACCTAAAGAGAGAGAAAACAATTCCAAATATGAATCTAGCAAGAAAGGAAGAGAAATGATGAAGCATATAATTTCAACTGTACCAAAGGGACAAAAAAAAAAAAATTAGGAATCTGCTGGGAGCTTTAAGCAAAACTGCTCTAGCTAGGAAAAGAAGAAAGCTTCACAACTGAATTTACCATTAATGAAATCTACTAACAAGCTTCAACTAATACCGAGCCCTGAAAAAATTTTTTTACACATTTTGACAGGTCTCCCTTCTGGCAAAAGAAATGATTAACTCCTACTTGTTAAAGTTTCTGCAAGAACCTTGCTAATCTGTAGAATCACTTTCATTAAGCCTAGAAGTTCACCAAGGTTGTTCCTATTTCAAGGCCTACATCTTCCCGTTTGTTTTACAGGGAGAGCATAAAATTAGTTCTGAATCTAGAAATCACGGTAAAAAACCCTAATAAATGCAGCAAGTAAAAGTGCCACGGACACGAAGACAACTTTTTTCCTAGTTCTTCAAACTTCTTCTGATTATTATATATCAAAGGACTCAACTGTAATGCTTCAAAGTGCTTCCATTTAAAAAACCCCAGCAACCTACCTTCTCATGCTTGTAAATTAAGTTTTCAGCCTGTGCTAAGCCAAGTGCAACCTGAGTCATTCTTTTTGTGTGGACGCTTTGTCTCACTGCTCCGGCCAGGAATGGGGAGAGGAGCTGCACTGACCAGCTGTCAGGCACCACCTGCAAAACTAGACCCGCATCAAATTCAGCAGCGTGGTTATTCAAGAGATCCACAGCAGCCATGACTAGTGCACAATCCGAAGTGCCTGGAGTTAAATACACTGACAGCAGCATATGGAAAAGCCTCCGCCTGTACTGCACGTCTCTGTTCTCAGAGTTCCATATGCAGTATTCTTCAGCAGCGTGGAAGTCCTTTAACTCGTGGACAAGGATATGCAAAGCCTTCTCATGTTCTTCTAGTTTCCCGTATAAAATTGCACTTTCCATATGAAGGTCTGTGCCCTGGATTTTGTCTGTTAAGTGAGAAACAAGGCAATATTTGCTCAGTGGAATAGACAACTGCTCCCTCTCCCAGAGTCAATGCAAACAAACACCCAGAACTCAACTCCTGCTATTTTTGTAGGGGTGCTGGCAACTATAGAGAGAACAGATCACAGAATCAACCAGGGTGGAAAAGACCTCTGAGACCATCAAGTCCAACCCATGACTCAACACCACCCTGTCAAACTAGATGCTTGTAAGCACAGGAGTGCCTTGATGTATGGAAACGCATCTCCAAGAAAAGAGCATCACCAATTCTGGGACAAAAAATTTACTAAGTAACAGTGAAAGAGGACATAAGCCACTTCCCTGCTATGGTTGTAATTCCAGCAGGTCAGTCTTGCCCATTTCTGCACACACTGCTACCATGTATATTAAACTGTAAGACGAAGCTGCAATATTAAGCTCTGCTTCTCCCAGTACTACAGGAAGTTACAAAATAAAGTCCATAAAACCCAATAAAGATCAAACAGCACTTTCCTTTAAGAAAAGGACACTACAAACCCTTAATCCAGTCTGACAGTTTAAAGTTTAAGTGTCAGCATAGGCAGATGGAGTGACAAGTTCATCTGGCATTTCAAGATAAAGTAGAAAATCCTCTACTTATTGTAAAGGTGATAAAGATTTGGCACAGGCCTATACAAAATGTATGGAAATACAATGTTTTTCTCAACATAATATTCTGGGTATCAAACACTACCTGGCATTGATGTCACTTGCATGTAACATTAGAATTGACATACAGGATTTCTAACGTGACAGAAAATAATCTATTTTGTAACTCTTGCCCTTAAAAAATTATTTAAAAATAAAAGATGAAAAAGAGCAAGAGTTTCAATGACTGTTATACTTGAACATTATGTCATAAGCCATTTAACATCTTTCAGTGAAGTAACAAGTCACTTCCCCTTCATTCACTATTCCATCCTTCCTTTCATCCTTCAGCCATCATCCTCCATACCAGAGAGGCTTTAAATGCTTGACTTCTTAATTGCAGAATGTATTTGCATTCCAGTGGATGAAACATTAAAAATTAACCATTATAAGCACCAACTGAGGAAAAGATGTAGCTCAACTGTTGCTTGCCTTATACCAACAGTAAGATGTATGTTGCACTTTTCACTCAAAAAGATGCTCATGCTTTTGTTTAACATGAACCCCAGGTTTTTGGGTCAGAATTTCAGGGTTATGGATAACAAACAAGTCCCTGACAATCAAAGTCCTCCAGGTTTCACTTCCATTCACGGAAAAACAGACTGCTTAAAAATAAACTTGTAAATAAATAAATAAATGAATAAACTTCCATTTGCAAAAGGTTGTCATGTGCTCATCATTAAAAAAGCACTGACTATTACAACAACTGTATGAAGATATTTTGTCTAGTCAGTTATGGCAGTCAGTCTTTGGTGCAGTGCCAAGCATACTATTGTACCTCACGAGCTATGGGAGACCAAGGACAACACTAAATGTTGATACAACTTCTAAATTAACTTGTGTTAATTTAGACACCTAGAAACCTCAGATCTTGCAGCTTTATATCCTTGCAAGGACTTCTGTTTCCTGCTGGAAATGACATACAGCATTTCTAACAGACAACGTGCAACTTACCCAAAATAAAGCGAATTCTATAAAGATCAGATTTCTGAAGCAAACTACGTAATTTATGCAGCAGTTCAGTTGTTTCTGTACAATTATCTGTGGTCTCAGATTTTAGCTGAGTTATTGCCTCCAAGTACAGGACAGCTAGATGAGTATGGTACTTCTCTTTCTACAGATGAAAAGAACAATGTTAGCTCAGTTTGCAAAGGGAACTTCCTCTCCAACAGTGATGAATATTTATTAATTACATAAAAATGTGTTTTAACTTACTTAATTTGAATTAATCACAAAGTCTTTTGTCCATAGATAGACAACTTAATTCAGATCAGCTTCACAAAATACACTACACCTCTAAGCATGGGAGTCCTCATATTCAGGTATGTTCTTTGACCTTTTCTAATTCTGCAATGAAGTCTGACAAAGCCACCAGAGGTAGACAAGCACCCTGTAGGCACGGTACTTTTTTGTACTCAATATTCATCAAAACAAGTTAAAGATTTGACTGTTGGAAATATTCTCAATCATTCAATCTGAATAATGTACAAGAATCTAGTAATTTCTAAAGACCAAACTTCCAGCCTTTACTAGCAGGTAGATTTAGCTGTAAATTATTTTTGTTACAAATATTCTACAAGGCACTCAAAAAGTTTTTTTTTAAATATCCATATCAGAGACTACTATCTTCATCAGGCTTGTTGATCACAATCTGCATTCTGAATCCTACGCCTACCTTTTAGCATTCTTACAGGAGACTCACCTCTATCTTTCTTTCCAATACCAGGTGCTCTAGATATTTGACACGTGCTTTAGGATATTTGTTAAGGCAACTGATGATATCATCTGGATTAATGTTTTTCTCCTGTTCTTCCAAAGACCTTTTAGTGAAAATCTGTACGCCGACCTAGAAAGAGTTTAATGCATTTAGGAACTCAGTAACAACTATTTTATTAAATAAGTATTTAAAATGAATAGGCAATAGTACTGTTGGATTAGTTAGTGCATTATTCAGGAAGACAAGCAACAAAAACCCCTGCTCAACACCACAGGATGACACTACGCTGTGCTTACTGTGATCTCACTCACTCCTATCTCCACTGCCTCAATCTGTAGTCTATACATCATCCAGCCTAAAAACCTTGGCTTGGGCACAACTTCCACCAGCCACAAAGACTACTGGACAGCTCTGCACAACTGCAGAACAAGAGACTTCAGCCTTTGCAGTAGGAAAGTTTAATTTATAGAACAGAATGTTTTAATCCTTTTCACATGTGACGACATAGACACGAGCAAGAGATTTCTGTAATGACCAAAACAAAAGTTTAGAAATCTGCCATGGCACAAAATAACTAAGCTCTAAATTACTACAGATCAGGAAGGGACAAGTTCCAACAGCACAGACTGTCTGATACAGGATCAAAGCATCTCACTTAACTGCACACCACACTAAGAGATGTTACAAATTTTTTTATTTTTTATTTTTTAAATTTTGGTGGATTAAGTTAATTGTGCTATCAATGAAGTTTTGTCTTAAATGAAAGCTATTTATTCCAAGTCCTGGTGTACACAGATACCACCCATTCGTGGAACACCTTTAAAAAAGAAGCAGCAGCAAGAATTAATCTGTTAGGTGACTGATTGATTATTTTCAGATTTGAAAATTATCTTACTCAATATGAAGAAAACAGAAGACATGCTGTATTTTTCATTGTACAGAATGCCTTAAACTTCGTTTTCAGAATTAAAAGAGGCAGTTATCACTAGCACTTGCCAAGAGAGGGACTTAGAAGAATTTAGAACCTGGAAGTTTTCTTCTGCTGATCACTATTTAACTGGCTTTAAATATTCTGCAGAAAGGCCAGTTAACTATCAGGAAGGACCAACATTAAGGAAAACCCAAACAACACTGCAGAGAAACAATGATGTTCTGTGAAAAGTATATCAATCACAAACCTCTTCATTTTTTTGTAAAATCCATTCATAATACTTCCACACAAGGTCTTGGTCTGAGCAGAATGTCAGGAAGTCTACTATATATTCATAGAGATCCGAACGCGTAGAATCTTCAATGTCTCCATCAACTATTTTCACCCATAACTGCAACAAAAACATACACATACGAAACTGCTTAAAACATGTAACTCTTCCACCTCAAAATGTGTGCAAGTTAATACAAGATTTGTGGAATCAGAAAGAGTTGCCAGGAACACAAATTGCAAGGAACCTCACTGGTCACTAAACTTTTGCCATCACAGTCTTCTCTTGCACCTGTCACATTCACCCAGTTCAGACCCCATGTTGTGTAGGTTCTCATTCTGAGAGCGGCTGAAGGAGGTACACTAATCACAAAGAAAGCTTCTATCAAAAGTCCTTCTCTCCAACGCATAGTATACTTTTCATGTGTTCTGTGTGTGTGTAAGATTAAAAGCAAATTATAAAAGCAACACAGAAGAAAATCTGAGTTTTTGCTCCTTTCATTGCGACTGAAGAGCTTCAAGTACTGCATGACATTGCTTTTATATACATTATAATTGGAATTAAGAGGTGCCACATCTGCAGACCAGTTTAACAATAAACCTTTTTTCTTGAAACATCAAGAAAAATATTTTGCCATGACAAAGGTACATATTGCTTTTGTTGTCCTTACTGGTTTTCTGCTCAGGCAATCACTATTTACTGCATCTGATAGGGTTACTATGATTAATGTGCTCAAAAAGGCACACAATAAGGCAAACTACTTAAGGTACTGGATGTGATCTGAAACACACATGCTATGTATTCATCAAGAACTTACTAATTTCTCTAGATGAAGTTATGTAGACAGGAACAACAAAATTACTGTGAGACATCACATGGAGGGTCCCCAGAGGTATTACTAACCCAGCTGAAACCTAAGATCTTGCAGAATGCATTCACTCTCCATCACCAGTTAAGGAAACAGACTCTCAGTTGCTGTCAGTGTCTGCCATAAGATTATAATACTGTTTTGCTGTGTGTACACAGATTAATCAGCAAAGGGTATGCTCCTAAAGTCCCATAAATATCTTTTAAAGTGATCACTTGATTATTTTAGCACTTCTGTCTATCTTTTAGGAATACAAACATTTGTTCTGCTGTGCAGAGTTTTGCTTTAAAAATAGTACATATGCAACTAAATAGGTGTCAACTTGAGTAAGCTCTTCAGACTTTTCACATCTAGCATATTAATTTATTCAAGGAAGTCTTAACATAAGTTTCAAGTTTCTCATATATATAGATATATACGCACACACACATCACAACTTTTCAAACAGATAAATCAACACTTCAGATTTTTATCTCAGAACTAAACCAGTATTTTGGAATGGTTTACAGATGACAGTAAAAGCTTTATTCTAACCTGAAGTGCTGCAGCATCCTGACCATTGTAATGATACAGGAGACCAAGTGCAAAATACCTGCAAAGAATGAGAAAATAATATTAAAATCGCTAGAACTTTCCCACTGATTTAATTATGGATGGATTAGCACAGAGTATAGCAAATAACTGCTTACAATGACATGCACACGGTCATGTCTACGCTTGAACAAGTCTCTGTAGGCTGTTTTTCTGAATTGAAGGAGAGAAGTTCTGCCTTAAAAACGTGTCTCCATCGTTCCTGTCCCTCAGACAGTTTCCAGTTACTAGATCCAACTCAGATAAAGTATGTGCCAAATTAGAGATGTTTCCCATGCCACTCTTTCAATTTTATGTTAACATAAAGACTTAAAACGCAATTCCAAATAGATACTCCTCCAATACTTAATCAGCTTTCATTAAATGAAATTTCATTATGCTTTTATTTAGAATTTTGTTTTACTATCAGAAATGTGTTTTTTCTTTATTGCAGAATGAAGTCAAAGAAGAGCTCTGTACAGTGCCATTACAGAGCGGCTTTTGCGTCCTGTAAGAAAAATACAACTAAGTTCTGCAATGGCTGTTCTCATGGGACAATGTTCTAACACTCATTCACATCTACAGAAGTAGAGGCCGTGCAAACCACATTTGCCAAGGGTTTTTAACAAAACACCTGAAACAAATTAAATCACTCTAAAGATAACCACAATTAGAGACTCTGCCTTACCACTGTAGTTGCTGCTACTGCACCACACAGTTCAAAGCTTAAAGAAATTAAAACCAAAATAGACATACCACCTAGGACTGGAGTTTGTATTTTACACATTTACTATCTAATGTTTCCTGCTTAATGACTGTCAATTCTCTGCCTGCTGGTATTTCCGATTTGAAGTCATTTGCACTCAAACTTAAGGAACCTTCTTTTGGTGAATCAGTGGGAACACAAACTATACAATTCAAAAGTAAGAGCTCCTTCCCTGAATAGGCAACAATTTTAAAGACAGCTATCTGGTTAATAGCTCCTATCTAACGCAGTGCGTGCTTTAAGGCATCTCTTCATTTTGTGTACAACTACCGCAGCCATTCAACTCTTCTGTTATCGCAAGGGTAAACCATTCACTTTTTTCTCCCAAACCTGTATCAATGCTTAATTTTTGTGTTGGATACAGAAACTTTTAAATGGAGAACTTGCAATTTACCATGCATTTCCTTTGCCTCAATCAATAGCTTTTCACCAATATTTATAAATTCTAACAATGCCAGTTCAGACTGACTTGTCTTTTGGGTCTGTAAGCACAGAAACTGCAAGTACTGGAACACATTGTTCTAGAACCCAGTAGCATCTAAGAAGTTTCTCTCTGGTCTCAAAGGTGCAATAGTCAAAAAATCCACTCACTTCTTGTGTTTTTCCAGCCAGGCAGCACTGTCTGTCAAAAGACAAAAGTTCTCTGAAACCAGCAGGTCCAGCAGGCTTTCATGATTTGCCTCTGCATATAGCTTGAGTAAAGCCGTGTCGATATCCTCCTTGTAGCCATTTGCAACCTCAGTGCTGCGGACTTCATTCAAGTAACTCATGAGGAATCGTTTGCATTTTGTCATCTTCTCCTGGTCCCCTTGGGTCAGCTGGTTTAGGTCGGCGTACTCGTGCAGAGGGGGATGAGACCGGATAAATGAAGAGGAAGTAGGCAACAGGAAGGGGTAGAGAGAGATCAGCTCCCGGACATCAAGCTGGCCGCTTCTGCAATTACAGTGTCAAACTAGATGAAGCAAAAAGAAAGAAAAAGTATACATAGGCACAAAAAAAAGATGTGTGCTCACATATGCTTAGAGTCAGGACACTAACAGGTTGTTAGTTTCTGAAAGCTAATGTCTTCTATGCTGGAGAAAACATATGCAGAACAAATCTGGATTTTTTTTTTTTTTGCTATTTCTTTCTTTATTTTATTTATCATTCTTTTTCCTTCTCTAGACGTTGGAAGCTCCAAGAATTTGGAGACTGGCTAGCCTTTTGCTTTTGGCATCCTACAGCTGAAAGGCACATATACTTTTATCCAGCAGCAAGTTGTAATATAAATATGCCATGCAAAACACTTTTCTTTCAGCCTAGATTGAAATTCCTCAAGGTTTTGAAGAATGCATGTTGTGACAGAAGAATAAAATGAATGCGTCTTTTTTTTTTGGGTTGTGGTTGTCTGATGGACTGAATGCTACTTATGTCTTAAACAATACAAAGACTTTTCTCAAACTGCAAGGAAGCAACAGCCTGTCTGCAGCCCCCAAAGCACCTTTCCCTCCCCACAATGCCTGTTGACTGGAATTTGGACTGTGACTGGGAACTTGAGACAGGACTGTTGTCTAACCATCTCAGGTCTGAGGAGAGGTAAACAAGGTTCAGGGAAGAATGTCTCTGTGTTAACAATCCATTCTAGCTGAGCTCAGTGGGTGGCGGGGGAGAGGGGTTTTGGGTGTGTGATGGTGAAATCTCTCCTCACCAAATCAAAAGAGTAACCAGGTACACACGGGACATTCACGTGAGAAGCAGCTGAGAAGGGGTTATAAACCACCACAGACCCGCAAAGCGCCCCCCAGAGTCATTCCTGAGGCCTTCCACCACCAGAAGACTGCACGTGATCCAAGTGAGGCAGTAAGTCTGGAGTCTGTTACAAGACCCTGCAAAGCTTCCCCCCATCAACGGGAGGTGCCTGGCATCTCCAGAATGGATACTAATCCATTGGACTCTATGTTTTTGGGAGACATTCACCACCATGAAGACCAGAAGAACTGGTCCAACACGACACTGCCAGGTTACACACAATGGGGATACATTCTCTATTTTAATCTCTGCCACTCACTTTCTTCTCCCCTGCCAACTCCTTTTTTCCTATTTCTTTCTTATCTGTCTTTCTCTCACATTTACCATTAAATAAAACCCATACTATTGACTTTGGCATCTAGTCTTGTTTGCACCTTAATTCAGGTACAGGCACTTCTAATAATTTTAATAACCAGATCACAAGAAGTTATTGGGGTTTTTTTGGTTTGGGGTTATTTAATTTTTTTTTTTTACATATGGCAAAAAGCTTCCTAATTTTCACAGCCAGAATGACCTCTCTTCCCAGGCCTTGCTTCAGGAGAACAGCAAGACATCAGGATTTATATTTTAGTTCACTATCAAAAGCTTTTATTCAGAATCCATCTTTAAAGATGAACATTCTTGAAATGAAGGAGATACTCTGGCTGAAAAAAGATCAAAATGATCTTGACCATTCTCTGAAAGAAACTGTTTTGTTACCACACAGTTGCAAATAAAAATTTGTAAAAATAGTTATTATCTATATATGAAGAATATATCTTCACAACCTTGATTGGAATGAATTCCAAAAAGAAACAAGTTACCACCCAGATGTAGACAAAGCAGCAGATTTCTTCAGGCAGTAAAGTGTGAAAGATCCTCACAAGCAGGCTCATCCCTTCCTTACTGTTGTAAAATAACTGAAGAGTGGGGCATGCCCTGCATTGTTCACTTCTCACCATTGACACAGTTCCAAAACCATCCAGGAAATATGAACTAGTGGGAAGCATCACCATGACTACCTTTCTCAACTACTTGTTTAGAACTTCTTTTTAATACTGTCCTTTGGTTACAAAAATCTATACCAGAAGAACAAAATTCTGAGACAGCAGCAACAGCAACTTTAAAAGCAGCAAGTATCCTGCTCCAGAATCCAGTGACTGCAAAGCACAGGAACAGCAGCATGGACAATAGAGGACCACACCACAGAAAATCTGAATATGGGAAGCCTTCCCATGAGAAGAGGCTTGAACAGCAGGTCTTCCCGATTCATACATAGAGCTCCTACTGCCTAAAAACCACCTCCCCACTAGAAAGGCTCACCTCTTAACAAGGGCAAAGTGTTTATGTCTACTTTGCAGATTTCTGCAGTTGAAATATCTTTTTAATCCCCCTTTGCAGGTTTAATATTTGGCTTAGAAATGCTGAGATGTACATTATGGTAGAACTCACAAGGAGACAAAGACTTCTTTTTTTTTTTTAAAAGGTAGAATAACCCAGAAGTAGCAAGTTCTGTCAGAGGTGTGACCTGATGGTTCAAAGAACATTTGAGCTTTAAGTATGAACTCATTACAGTAATCTAACTGCAGTTTTGACTAGTCCAACTACTCTGAAAGTTTAAGTCCTGAGGACTACCAGATAAAATATATTCCATGAGATGTTTTACATTAGAAAACTAACCCTATTTGAAGAAAGAAGAGATTTTTTTTTTTTCTCCAAGGTTCTTCCCTGATTTATTTTAGAACAAAAGTTAACCCATAACTCAAATAACATCCACAGGCTACTCAAAATTTGTGCAAAACAAGGAGTCAGTAAATTTGGAGAAATTCATGTATAAACATTGGTTCCCTGGCAAGCTATACTGTCAAGTATTTGGAGGTGGCCTAAGCTTAAGATGGAGACTATGACCATGGAGATGGATGAAATTAAAAGATGCTATATTTAAATATGCCTCTTATTGTAAGTTTCAAAAACATTTTCCAACTTCTGCAGTAGCTTCTGAGTCCTTTCATTTTACCATTCCACTTTTCCTAGACAACAAAGCAGTCAGTTACTTCCCCTCTGACTTCACAGACTTTGGCCTCAATGATGATCTGTTTCCCAAAGGAGAAATAGCTTTTGAGGAGAACCAGCTTCCAGCCTGGGATAGCCCAAAGCCTAGGCTCTCACAGTGGTTCTCTCAGCAGGTCTGACACAAGCTCATGTTACAGTTTTGCTCTCCCCACAGCAGTGGCAATCAGCAATCAAGCAGCCTCCTTAAAAAGGAGGCTTCCACAAGCTTCTTAAGGAAAACCAGTAAATACTAAACAATGCCCAACAATGCATGAATGGTTAACATTCATCCCAAGGCTTATGGTTTCTGGGATCTGTGCGTGTTTTGTGGCTCTTTCCACCACATCTGGACAAAATCATTTAAGAGCAGGTACAAAGGACCTCATCTCTTTCAAAACACATATCCCAGTCTTCAGCTTCTAACATCTCAGGCTTAGCAAAATACAGGTAGCAACTTATCTCACAGTAGAAAACAAACTTGTAACTCAGACCCTCGTATTTACAGATATCAGAGATGTAAAAGAAGCCTACAGTATTAGTTGTTTTGCCCAGATCCCACTGGCTGTAATAGAAGCTTATATTCTCAAATAATTTAAGATGCAAATCTTACACTGCCCCAACTTCTCATTTCTCAAGGTATAAGTACCAGCAATTTTTTAACCTTTCCAGTATAGGAGACACTTATTCCTAAGGTCTCTCTATAGGCTTTCTCAGATGAGAAATACTGAGGAAAGAGTTAACATTTTGATTTGTTAAAAAGAGCAGCAAAGTTTAGAAAAGTATCTGGTGTGTCAAAATGTAAGCAACATCTAATCAGTGAAAAAACACTGAAGAGAACTGGTTTCATTGTGACAGCTGCCAACACCTCAGTAAGACATCTAGAATTCAGCAAATGGCCTACTAAACATCACTGATTGGTCTAAATGCCTGTGACCCTCTAATGATAGTAACATGAAATAGCATAAATATAAATCACAGCTACATAACACAAACAAACACAATTCTGTTATTGTTTGTAACAGAACTGTCAGACCAAAGAAGCCCTACTGTGACAGCTCGCTCAACTTAAGGTTAACTGATACAGTTGAGGAAAATTCTCCTCCCTTTGTTGGGCTACTTAAGTTTCAACAAAACTATCACTTATTCTTTTTTGTCAACCTTCTTCAGTATTTAGAAGTATCAGCATAACCACAAGGAACTTTGCAAAGTATTCCTCCTAAAGGTTTCAGTATTTAAGAACTAAGAATTTAAGCATAAGATATAACTGTTTCTTGACAAGGTTATCCAAGAGGGATAATTGATGCAAGAAAACAAAGACCTTTAGTCCGATATAGTAGTTTCCCCAGCTAACCTGTGACTGATAGGTATTTTCTGAGTAGTGAGATAATCTCACTTCATATTTGTCCAGAAATAGGCTCACATCACCAAGTTCCTGAAGATGCTGCTGTCGTTTTGTTTCACTGCTTAAACCCATCTTTTCTCAGATAGGTACCAAGTTTCCCTTTGGCATTAAGACTGAAGTTACTTCTTACTAACACAACACCTGCAGAGTAACACATCAGAATGGGAGGAAGTGTTTGCACAGACTGCCATTATCTTTCCCATTTTTCCTCTGAGCATCAGGAAGTTTAAAATGAGCAAGATTGATTGAGAGTGTATCAGGGCACATGTACTACTCTAATTGGGTGTGTTCATCAGGGCTGAAAATCAAGGAAACTGAAGCTTTTTTAGAGTCAAACTACTTTGAATAGTTTACGTATGGCTGGACAGAAGAAAAGCACATCCTGGCTTTCTTCCTCGAGCAGACCTCAGCAATTCATAAACTGTTGTTCTGCTTTGGAGTTGCAGCTTTTAGAGGAAGGAAACACCCTGGAATGCTGACTCAGATACAAAATTCGTGGCTGGACAGCATATTTTCTCATGAAGCATGCTTGTTTCTGCAGAGGGGCTCCCACGATCCTATTCATTAAAGTTTATTTGTCAGATGGACTGATAGCTGGATGGAGGCTGCATAACTGATCCTGACTCCTTCCTCAAGGTGGTGGAGCTCCCTGCAGGATTCATTCCCCTCTTCTCACTGCTTTTCAAAGATTCCCAACTAGGTACAGATTGTACTCCCACTTCAGACACACAACACAGGGTTCAGATACACTGTGTGTGTGTAAGATTATAAGGGTGGAGGAAGACTGCAATTTGCTCACTAATGACAACAATTACAGGGTGTTACAAAACATGGTTGTAGCTGGAAGAGATTGTGAATAAATGCCATTCAGGCCTTTCCTGTCAGTCTCTCATTCTCACTCAGCGTCCATTGCTCATTTCAGCCCAGTGTCTCCCATTATACAGGTGAGCAGGAGGCAAAATGGCAAAGTCTCTCATCAGTAGCAGAATCCCCCAAAACCTTTTCCTCAATGCATTTCCATAAACCCAAGGACAACTTTTTTCCTATACTGTACATGCTTACAGTATACAGAAAACTGTCTAAGCTTATTCTATGGACTCTACATAGATTTAAAGTGAATTTCAGCAGATAACAAAGAGAGTTGTTTTATGCAGTCAACATGGATTACACTAACTACAGACAGTGCCCCATCACCAGAATGAGGCATGGTTAGCAGAAATGAAATTATCAGGCAGAATAAAGATAACTAGCTGAATTTTCTTAATGGGAGTGAAATATCAAGGTCAATTTATAAACATGTGACTGCTGAAATGGCTAAATTGGGAAAGTTAATACAGACTTCCAAGAACAAATCTGCTTTCTGGAAAAGGTCTAGCAGAACAAGTGTTAAAACAAATTCAGTATCAGCATCCTCAAAAATGTTAGCGCAATTGTGTTAGTAGTATTTAAATTGTAACTAAAATTTAAATTATACCTTTTTGTTAAAAGTATTTTAAAAAAGAGAGCAAGGCAATATCCATGCTGTAAATCACAGCACAGGGTCAATAATAAAGCCTTGACCTTCATGGGTATAAAGTAAAAAAACCTCCACATACACAACTCTCAAATAACCAAAGCTACTGCTAGCATACAAAAGAAAAAAAAAGTTGCATTAAACTCTTCAGCTATAAAGTTGTTTCAATGTTACTCTGTTCTTATCCCCAACAAAAACATTTTACCATAGTAAACTCACATCTGCATCAAAAGCCATTCAAGTTTTTAAAATCAAGAACACTAATTCCTTATTTAAAGAAGTAATAAATTTCTTGTCACACAATTACCTGAAGAGTTCTTTTGCTTCAAGGAACTGAAGCTGTGCAAACTGTATAAAGCCTGCTTGCTGCAGGATTCGTTTGTACATTACCTATGAAAAAGAAGAGGGGAAAGAAAATGTTTATTATATTTGTATTTACACAGTGCTGATTCCTACTGCAATAGCTACCTGCCACAACACTGAACACGTGATCTTCAACCACACTTGCCAAGTCACATGCAAAATAAAGCCTTGATCCTCCACATTTTAAGTTATGTACCTACTGAATCTGCTGCCCAGACTCAGTTTCTTACACAAATGTGTGTGAACACAACACTGCTCAGGGTCCTTATTAAAAGTCAAGTCAAAAAACAGTAAGGTGAACTTTTCTTGTTCACATAGTGACTTATTTGACATGACACTGACTTGCCGCAAGTTTCTGCTCGAGTTATTTGTTAACATAAAAGCCAATGGTTATCTCTGAAGTTCTCCACGATTCAGTAAGCACAAAAGAAAAGAAGGTAAGGATGGTCCCACTTGACCACACACAGCCTGTCATCTCACTGCTGCAGCAACCTTGCTGGCAATTCTCAGTCTCACTCCCAGCTCATGACTGTAGTTTTGACTTTTGTTATTTTGATTTTTTTTTTTTAAATAAAAATACTTCCAAAGTGGTTCAACTTATCCAATATGAAGTACATTATGCAATGTAGATCAAAATATAGTTAAAAACCAACTAAAACATGGAAAGTTATTTGTTAACAAGTTTTACTGTTAAGGTCACACCTAGACAGAAAATGTTGAAAAGAAGTTCATTACAAAAAGAACACAAGAACTACTTTAATGATAGGTAGCTATTAAATCTGAATGGTCAACCAATTACCATAAGATTAAATGAAATCTTTGTGCCCAGAATATTTTTAACAGCAAAAGAGAACTACTAAAAGCAAGGAACCTAAACTGTGCTCTACAAAGCATCTCGTTTGTGATAACATCGGGATTTTGGCAAATACACCCAGCTACCTCCACAGGCCTTCTTCATTTTTTCCCTTCACCTTGCTCATGAACATACAGCTTTCTAACATTTCACACTGTACATGAAGGCAGACTTAAAACACACTTAAAAAACCATTTTCAATGAAAATACCCTGAGAAACTACAATACAATAGGAACACATTTCAGGTAGAAATTACTAAGGAACATGAGACCTCGAGTACAATGGATTGATTCTGTAACTGATGATTTTTCACCTTGATTAAAGATTATGGATTTACCAAGAGAAGAGCTTGGCTTCAGTCCATTTAGTCTTGCTTTACTAATGGTTTGTCTTAAGGAAATAGTTAATCTTGGTAATTAGCAAGCCATGAAAATGTATTGATTTGTGAGGTTCTGTGGGATTTTTCTTGACTTCCCAGTGTGGAGGAGAGAAGGGGAAACAAAGATGTTATCTGGCACACTTTTTCAGACAAATAGGAAAATATGAAATTAATATAACAATATAAAATTAAATGAACAATATTTCATGATTTCTTTATACGAATTAATGTTTTACATTCATGTGTAATCATTCAAAAGACACAGTTAACTAAATTTAGTTAACTAAAGCTAAAAGGGAATGTAACTACAGTTATAAAGTGAAACTTCCTTAGTGATTAATTCACAAACTAGACAAAATATTATGGATTTCTGACAGTCTTATTACATCAATACACAGTAATCTGTGAATTGATACCCACTTGGTCACATTTTTAAGGCCACTGCTAAAGGATTTCAATCTGCAAATATCTGCATCTTTTGGCAGCAGCAGAACTTTAAAATCTGGCTTGACTTTACAGGAAAAGTCTTCTCACCATGCTGACTAGTATCAAAAGTAGATAGGCTGGGGTTCCCCCCCCCCCCAAGTCTGTTTTCAATTTTTGCAACAGAATGATCACTAAAATTTACATATTTAGTAAATTATGATATTGTAATTAAGTTTGAATTTCTCTAAGACACTGAAAATACTGCTTTAACTGCAGAGCTTAGTCTGTACAGCATCTTTTCAACAAAAAGTTGAAAAGAGCACATTAATAGTGTAACTACAGCTTGAAGGAATCAGTTTTAAATTTGAACTGATTAAGCGGTATTCACTTTCATTTAAATGTTGACATATCTTCACTTCTCCCTGCATGCAACAAAAAAGTTGTAGAATATCCATGGACAGGTGCTTTCCCAACTTTTTAAAGATGCAGTGATGGAATAGGGAGTATCCAAGTAGATTTTTAGTCAACAAGATAAACATTAGACATTAGGTTGTCCTAGGGTAAAGGTTATGGAAGCAGCAGACCAGACTGTCCATGGAAAATCCAATACTCCCTGTCTTACAGGTTGTTAAGAATGAGCTAGACCTATATGCCAAACACATACATTTAACTTCCATTTATGACAGAAAAAACACCTTGATTTCTTTCAGACCCAAAGGCCAGAATACTGCAACAGGCTTTTTTCAAAAAAGTACTAAGTTACATCCACTCGAAATTCAACACATTGTTTAGTCCCTTATAATTTCTGAAGAACTACCATAAGACTTGAAGTGCTTTAGACAAATTCTATATTGTTGACTGAATTCACATAAAAAACCCCATGAAATCAGTTTTGTATTAATTCATGTCTGAAAAAGCCCTAGACAACACAAAGATGACTGCTGAATCTGCAACAGCTATAGCAAAGCCTTAATTCTCATAACTGGCAGAAAAATTCTTTCTAAAATGGTCAGAATTACCAACTAAACTACATTGTACAGAAGAATTTTTCTAGAAAGCTACTTCGTTGTTTGGTCGGGTTTGGGTGCAGTTAATATGTTTTTTTGAAACTAAAGAAATGAGAAGAGAAGAAAAAAAAAAAAGAAAAGAGAGATACCTATGCAAGATGTGTGTCAATCTAACCAAGGTCTTCACTACCATCAACCATGATTTCTGCAAACGTCAGCTGTCCTGAAAAATTAATAAGTAGTATTCAGTCATTTCATGGTAGCATGGTAGAAAAGCCTTTGTATTCTTCTATCAAAATGATATCCAGTAAAGTTATCTCCTTGGAACACTTCAGCTTAGCATTTTTTACCTAGCAGGAATTCCTGATGCTCAAAGATTATTTTCATCTGATTTGGCAGAGCTAAATTTTCAGTCTGTAGGGACCACAGGTTAAATAACAAGTTAGAGCTACTAATGCATGACCTGCTACTTTCCAATAACTAAATATTGACTATGCAAATAATTCTGAGTACAGTACTTCATTGCTATTCCACTATCATTCTGCATTACTAGCACATGTATATTTATGCTGATATACAGAGGGAGAGCATGCACCTGTGTATGCATGCAATGATGAAGTACTGAACTGTAGGAAAAAACCCATGTCCTCAAGATCTGCCCTACAATGCCCTGAGTAAATTCAAGTCACATGTAAGATGGCAACAGTCACTGCAAACTGCAGAACTAAAGCATCACGTGGCAAAGGGGACACCATACTTTATGAACTAAACAATTAGAATCAGTATTCTGCATGGATAAGTTATAGTGAATGGATCAAGTGTCTTAATGTCAAACCTAGGCATTTCTTCCTATTGCTTGCATACAATGGCAAAATACAGCCTTGAAATTGTCAGCTACTCAGGATTCAGAAAAGCTTGCAAAATAGATACCCTAAGATACCTATTAGAAGATACCTATTATCTATCTAACATCTATTATCTGAAGATAGCTCTTAGGACTTAATAATGAGTGACTGCGTGATCAGTTAGAGCGTACCAAAGAAATGTTGCAAAAAACCACATGTATGGCATTTAATTTGGTTGAGCTCCATCAAATTTACATTACACAAGACCACAGTAAAGGAAAGTCTGAAGCGCTTGTAACAGACCTGTAAGGACAGCATTTGGTATTGGAGTCCCATCTGAAAGCAAGCTCAAAATTTTATGTTTCCAGCTACAGAGCAGCTCTGAAAAATTGCACTAATATCTCATCAACTAAGTCAAGTTGGGTCATTTTAATATGAGTCAGTGGGAGACTCCATCAACTCAAACTGGTTAATATCAGTTTGCAAATACAGCCCAGAAACAGAACAGGTTATTTTGCTTGCAAGTGCTATGTTTTCTGGTTTTCAGCTGTAGCATTGACTTATAGTAAGTGAACACCTTTAAGGGCACATTAAACTAGAAAGAACTTAGAATATTCTAGGAAACTAATTTCAGGAAAACAGACACTGTGCACATAAGGTATCTGTGGACAGAAAGTAACTTGTTCTAAAGACTGAAAAATCCTAAATGCAAGAAAACTTAGGAGGAATGAGATATTTTAGGTTAACATCTGTGGCAAAACACAGAAAGACATCTCCCACACTACATCTACATAAACTGGAAAGAAAAAATTGCAGGCTTACAGGCCATCATACATAGTAGAAGACATTGATTATAACATGCATCCTGTTCTCACAGCAAGATATTTGTTTGCTTCTTTAATCAGATTGCAAAGGAAAAGTTGGAAGTGAAGATGCAAAGTAAAACATGCTGGAAAATGAACTCCATATTTGCCTAAATACTTTTCAGCTTCAAGTACTTCCAGATAGATGCAACTTAGCAAAAGGATGGAAACACTTTTCTCAACAACCTTTTTACTTCCAGAAGTTTCCCAGCTGTTCATTCAACAGGAGAGTCAGGGATCAAAATGAAAACTGATACAAGCTTCATTTAATTTAATGACTGCTTTTCAAGGGCCTTGATCAAAATTGAAATGACAAGGAATTAGAAGCTTCTCAAAATAAAAAATAAATAAAAAAACCCCAAACAACAAACAAAAAACCAAAACACCGCACACCCCCCAAAAATCATTTTGAAGCACTGCAATTCTGTAACTTTCACAGTCATGTTTACATCTCTCTAAAGAAACCAGAAGTAATAACATAACAGGTACCGTTTTAAGGCAACAAAATGCACCTAAGTATATTAAAAACACAAAAACAAAAAACACACTAGATTTTCTTCAGGTTACAGATCAAATTTTGCTTTTACAAAAGGAAAGAAACCATATATTCATTCACATATTAAGTGAATAGAGATTTCATGCTGTTTTTTCCAAGTCTCTAAACAGAAACAAATACAGTAGAATATGTATTGTAATGCAAACCAGAGGTAGAAGGAAGTGAGTACAAATCTCTAATCAACACTCAAGAGTTTGGAACACACTTTCCCCACACAAAAGCCTTAAAAGCTGAGTTACACAGCAAGGCAAGTACTACTTGTAAGAGTTTGGAAGCAGGACGTATTTGCTTTAGATTTGCCATCACTTAACTTTGAAGTTGTACTATGATGGAGTTTAAGATACAGTAAGAATCTTTGATAAAAAAGGTAAACCGTAAAAATTCTGATTCAAAATAAAATATATATTTTTAAACAGCAATAGCAAATAATAACTGAACCTAGTACTAAGGAAGCATAGCATTGGATTTTCTGTCACTATGCTTTTTGGTTTTGTTTTGTTTTCAATTCTGTCAAGTTTCTTGGAAAAAAAACCAAAAAACACAACAACAAAAAACAAAAAACCAAAACCAACAAAGCGCCAGAAGAGTAGCAGCATCCAACCTGCCAATATCACAGCCTTTACAAATACAAACCAATTTAGAAGCACACTATTTCCTCAAGCTGAAATCATAAAAGGTATTACAATTTCTCTTCAATGTAAATTCCTCCCTCACCCTCTCCCATCACTTGAACATTGGAATATATGACCCCACTGTGAAATTTACATTTTCATTAAAACTAAAGGAAGGACAGACCTGAAATTTCTCTTTTGGAATATTCCTTCGAGCTCCTTTTGCTAGAACAAGGGCTTCTTCTACTCTGTGGCTAGCTAGAAGATCTTGAATCTGTTTTTCCAAAGGTAGTGGCACCAAGATATAAACACCCTTGTTCGTAGCAACAATCACCTTTCCTGGACAGAACAAACAGACATATTCTGTTTACATTCTCTACAGAAAAAAAAACAATTTCAGAAATAAGCTTTAAGATATACAATATAAGATTCAAGAACCTAAGCAGTGTTAAAGTTCCAAAACTGACCTTTACTGTTACCTCATTTATTAGATAGCAGCTTACCTGCAAATTCCATCTCAGAAATACAGAGACAATGGTAAATTTATTTATTTACAGCACATTTTGTTCCACTCGAAGTGAAACTGGCTATAATCACTCATGATGTATATATAAGCTATAAAGGCCACTGAAATCACTGTCCAGATGCCAGAGACTAGGGACTTTTAACTGCCAGGTGTTTCCACACTTACATTTTAAAATCAAAGGTAGCAAGTAACATTCAGTTCATAGTGCTAGAGTTTGTAGCTTTTCTGAAAAACAAAGGTAGTAGCACAAAGTATTTCACACTTAAGACTTCTTAACTGAAGAACACACAAAAACAAATGTTTGCCTTTTTTTTTTTGTATAACAACTCTTTATATCCAATTTTAAAACTCTTATACAGATATTTTTCAAATTACTATTCTTTTGTATTCTTTTCTAATTTGGTAGAACTTTGTCAGGATAGCCACTGTACTGGTAGTTCACAATTATTGAGTTGAAGCATTAACACTGCTCATTTGAAAGAAATAATCAAGTTACAAAAAAAAAAAGAAGCTCTAACCCCATGTACTCCTACCCAACAATTTCCTTGACAATTAGAGCACATTTAATGAGCATACATTTTGTTAGAAGCATAGAATTTTGGATTACTGAAGTCTGCAGGACTCTAACCAGCAAAGCAGTTGCAATAAAAGTTTCAACAGTCAACATACTTCGTTTAAAAAACAAACTGAAGTGACTGCAGGCTGTTCCAGAATTACTGATGCAACAAAGTACCTTCAAAGTCCTGTAGAATGTGACCTTCTTTAAAAGGCAGGGTTTGCTTTTGCTGCTGGTCCAGCATGCTGTGCACCGTAATGAACTCATCATCGAGAGCCACCACATAAGGAAAGCACAAAGCTGCCCCAATCACATTCTCCGACCAGTGCACTGGGGCGCGCTGTGAGATCCCATCTACAGTTGCAAACATGCCTGCAAAGAAGGAAAAACAAAGCCTGAGGCTTGGGCTAGTTGAAGTCTAATTGTTTTCCCAGCACAAAGCATGGGTACCAAGGTAGAGAGATGAAAATTTCCAGAACAGATACAGGCGGCATGACAACAGCACATCACACCTCTCTGGACCTGACAGTTACTTCAGGTCAGTCTTTTTTCTTCCCTTGTCCTTCACCACAGGAACAGACAACACCAAAAACTGAGAAGAGATGGATACTGAAAGAAAGTGCAAAGAATTATTCAAGTTTAGTAAGCTTAAGGGTTTTCTTACAAGAATTATGCCACGCAGTTTGAATTAATTTCAGAACATTAACATTTATTGAGACACATTCAATCCTGCCTTAGTAGGAGCTGCAGATCTGCACTGCCTGGCAATGCAGGCATGTTAGTTCCTTGCTGTACCAAATATCTGAAGAGCATTTCAGTGGACACAATAGTTTACTTATACTTCTTCACTTTTGATACAGCAATGTTTTCACAGAACAAGTGTCCAGCTCCTTGGGATGAGTCACTTCCTGTGAAGCATCTGTGTTTTCAATCATTGGAAAAAAATGCAGAGGCTGTTTATAGACCAGCACAGAGTAAAGACCTTCTATATCCCAAGGATAACTCCTATGCTGTCTTAGAAATAACCAGATTAAAACTTCAATTAATTTGGGGAGGGGGGGTTGTCACTATCTTTCCTCCTGTCTATTTTGTCCTCCTTCCTTGTCCTAGCTTAACAGACTTCTGACTTGCTTTAGGATTGCATGTCACTGGTTCTATTCATGCTACTTTGTATTTCCCAATTCTTTCCGAGACACTGACTGAAGAAAAATTTCAGTCAACATTCTGAGGCCTAGTTCAGTAAACATTTACCAGCTGAGCCATCCTGAAGCAGTATGTAAGCTTCTGTTCAAAATATTAATTCATACCCGTTAAAACCAGTATTCTCATGCCATTAAAAAGGCATGCCCATGAAAATTGATCTTTGGCAGCAGTGAGCCACTTGACAGCTGGCAGAGTAAGTCTGAGCTCTAAAGAACACAAGAGATTAAAAGATTATGTTATTCAATTTACAAAATCTCCTCTAAACAGAGGATAATGAGGCAAGGCGAGCTGGGTAGAAGGACCATCTTGGAATTGAAAAAAAAAAAAAAAAGGGAAAACAGAAAACAAAACAGAAGGTTGTAGACTTTTACAGAACTATGGTGTAGAGAAGCTCACCTAAGCTTCTGTATCTCTTATAGCAGCTTTTAAATTATCAACCCTTTTCCCTTGACTAAGGGTTCTTTTTCACCACAATGATCAGCTTTTCAACCAAAGCACCTCACAGAAAATACTTTTTTGGGGGCTCATAATATATTGATTCCCAATTTACTCTATTGGTCTTGATATTCTTATGACTCAGAAGTAAAATTTTATGTCAGGCTAACTGCACTGTCCACTTTTAAAGGCTTTTTGTTATTACTCTGTGCTATAATCTCATTTCAAAAAGTGAAACTTGAACTAAACACATACTAACCAGTAGTAAATTTAGTTTATTATATTTAAAATATTAATTCATAGGTTTTCTATTTCTCCGATGTTTAAACAGAAATAATTATAAACCACATTTTTTTTAAATGAAAAAGCTCTTTTTTAGGTAATTTTAAAAATTCTTTCATGGAAGTGAAAGGGCATGCAGAGCAATGGATGGTGCTTTTTCAAGTCAATAGCTCTCTACATCCCTCTGCTCTCAATAACTAGGTGGTATATCATTCTGTGGTAGAATGATGCATTTTCTGTCTTCATCCAGCTCTCACCTAAGGATAACAATAAATATGACAACTATAATCAGAAACCACAGCCTTTTTATAGATCAGGAACGCATTTGATCAAACTTGAGATGAAGCCAGTAATCAATTCCATACTGAAAATGCATAGGCTATCCAAAGGTTACAAGAGTTACCCAAAACACAGCTACATCATTTTCCAGCACCTAGAGATATAGAAATGTTTTGTACACTCTCAAAACTAGCTGAAAGTGTGCTCTTCCCCACAATCCATCCTGTTTAAAGATGATGTTAGTATTGACCTTGCATTGGCCCCCTCTGGGGTACAAGAGTAGTGACTGGCCTCCAGCTGGACTCCTGCTCACTACAAACCTTCCTGTCAAGCTTTCAATCCACCTCACTGTTTCTCTAGCTCATTCTTCATCTGTTTGTCTACAAAGGGTGTCATGGGAGATAGCATCAAAAGCCTTGGTGAAGTTCACAGTATCACTGCTCTCCCGTCATCCACCAAGCCAAGTATTCAATCGTAGAAAACACTCAGCCAGGCAATTGTCCCTTTTAAAATCCACGTTGATTACCTCAAATTACATTCTTGCCCTTTGTATATTTGGAAATAGCTTCCAGGATTTTCTCAGTCACTTTCCTGAGGATCAAGGTATAGCTGGCCAACCTGTACTTGCCTGGATCCTTTCTCTTGGTCACCTAAGACAGCAGTGAAGACACTTGTTTTCTTCCAGACCTGAGGAACATCCCCTGATCATCACATCCTTTCAAAGGTAATAAAGACTGGCCTCACATTGACATCGACCTCAAGCATCCATCTGGTCCCATGGTCTTGTCTGCCCAGTTTACTCGAATGTTCTGTAACCTGATCCTTCTCTGATGAGGGCAGGTTTTTGTTGCTCCAGATTTTCCCACTGTTCCTAAGCACTGATAATACCTAAAGGAAGGTCATACCAGCAGACTGATGTAAAGGAGGCATTAAGCACCTCAGCCTTTTCCATGCGCTTTGGCACCCGGTCCTCCACCTTATTTAACTGTAGGCATCCATTAGCCTTCCTTTGCTACTAATATGCTCCTTTTGTTGCTGTTCATGGTGTTCAGCAGTCAAGGCCAGACAGACATTGGCCTCTGTCCTGGTTTTGGATTAATCTTCTTCTTAGTAGCTGGTACAGTGCTGTGTTTTGGATTCAGTATGACAATGATGTTGCTAACACACTTATATTCAACAGAGCACATGGCTTCATCAGTTCCTTAGTCACCATCAGTGCACTCCAGAAAACTCATGGACTGCTTGTGCCCTGCTGTGCTGGCCCTCTGGCAAGTACTGGAGTGGTTTAAGAGTACCATAAAAACTAGGACCTGCAAATGAAGGTTTCTTCCCATTACCTGAAGAAGGTCTTACCTACATCATCTGTCTGATAAAGTGGTCTCTAGCAGGTAGGTGACCATGATGTCACCCATATTAGTCTGCTTTCTAACCCTAAAGCATAAACTCTCATCTCCCTCTTCCTTTGTTCCAAGGCACACCACCACATTTTCCCACTGCTTCCGCATAGAGAGTAACCCCACCCCTCAGCTGTTAACACAGAAGTGTGATGATTTCCCAGAAAAAGAGAGCTTTCACTACCATGCTGTTTTGTAAAGACTTCTTTGTCAGTATAAGCCTGAAGCAGGACCTCTTCAGCTCTGCTTGCTGCATATGAAGTCTCTCATCACACCATCTTGCATTCTTTGTTTGCCAACTCAGCCTACAACCATCACCACACCTAATTTAAATACTGCTCACCAAGTTGGTCAGTCAAGCTGGCAAAAACGCTTTTGCCTAACTTGGTCTGGTGGATCCCATTACTTCCTTAAACAGGGATCCATAGTCACAAATGCCAAAACCCCTGTCAACACAAGTTGTGCAATCAGTTGGTGACTTGCACCATCCACACATTCCTCAAGACGTTCTTCCTTACCAGCAGGATTGATGAGAAAACCTCCATCACCAATATGAGAGAGTGTCCCACTACTCTTACTTGCTAATTCTTCCTGATGCTACTGCATTGTAAAGGCTCAGACGATTTGTCGGGGCAGAACTTCCTGTTCCTCATGTGCAACTATGAGCACTGAACTTACTAAATAGATGTAAATCTGCAGGCAGAGAAGGAGAATTCCTTCTTTGGTTATGACAAGCACTTCCTTTCTTTTGTTATGACAAATCACAAGTTTCCATTCCAGCCTTGGCCATCACAGAACAAGCAGAGACTTAGCCTGTCCTTCCCTCTGTACAGTTGGAGGTACAAGGCTCACACCTGGGTGCTGGAGAAGATTCAATTTCCTTTTTGTCATCTGTGATGCCGTGCACTCTGCTGACCTCCTCCTGCACCTCCTTTACATGGCAACAGAAAGCCTTAACGAAGCACACATCTCCTGTGGACAAGGACCACATTCTCCCTTGCTCCAGTCTCCTTGGAGGAGGTAGGAGGTGCTCTCTTCAGCTCAAGGCTCAACAAGCTGCACCCGCTCTTGGGAGCTCAGTCTAAGCTGACACCTCTGATGTTTTGGAGCAGTTGCTCCAGCTGGTGCTAAGCAGCACACCCCGTACCAATATGCAAGAACTGTCTGCTGCAGTTTTAAAGCCTTTGTACAGCAGGAAATCTGATTAAAAACATGCAGTAACAGCTTCCCAAACTCAGAAACTTAATTTCGGTAAACATAGTTTCATACATATCAGAAAGAAGTGATTTTTAATTCTAAATGAACTAATCACTGGACAAAATGAAGATGCACCAAAAATGAAGTTCCTCCTCCTTTTGAAAGAACAAGCTAAATACTCTCTGCAAGCAGAGAAAGCAAAGAGCAGTGATCTGCTATGAACAATTCTAACAATGAATCTTAAATGCAAAGAGTCCAGGTAAGGAAAAAAGTTACATACCCAATAAACTTGAAGACATTTTACTTTGATAACCATTTTGAGCACTTGCTTTCTGCCTATCTAAATTCTATCTTAACTCAAAAACAAATTATTCTAAATATATGCCACTTCAAACACTATAAAGCCAAATATATTAATGTAGAATATACATCCACCTCGGTAAGAGGCTGGATTTAGCACTGAGGTTTCACCAAGAGCCAACCAAGCATGCCTTAACCACTGAGACATACAAAACCAAATCAAAATTAGAACTGAAGATTCACAGATCCTTTTCAAGTCCATTAATTTTACAGCAGAAGCCTACCTCAAATTCCAAGATACACAGTGCTTATCTATTATAAAGGTGCTCAGCCACCTTCATAACCTCGAAGAGACAAGTGTTTAAGACACTAAGAATTTTACCAAGGAAGAACAGCAAGGACAGTACTAGTCAAAACAACGAGGATGGAATAGAAAACAGGAGATTTAAAAAAAAAAACAACCAAACAACAAAACCACACAAACAACCCACAGCTGAGCTAGGCAAGGAAACACTGTACAATTGATAGCAAACAATCTGCAAGGTTTCTGAGAAAGTACAAGATAGACTTTGCCAGTCTAGCAGTACAAGATAGACTGTATCATGAGGAAAGGGGTGGTTTATAGAATGTTTAGAACAGCAGAAGTGCATTTACTAAATATCTCACATACCTGATTTTCTAACCCCAAGACAAGTATGTTGATTTTATGAATAACATTCTCATTGTATCTCTCTCTTACAGGAGACCAGATAAAAGCAAAAGTCAGACTAAATACACTTCTGCTTTCTAACTAAATACAATTATGCTTTTGAAAGTATATGTATTCTTCTTAAATCAAAAAAGAAATTAACTACTTGAACAGAACCTGGTTTGACTTTCTTAAAAATATTAATAAAAATTAAGACTGTGATCTTCTTAGTAATATGTCAAAAACAAATATTTTCAGACAGCTAATTCACAAATTTAAACTTCTACAGCACTACTAAAACAGTTAATATCTACAAATATATATTCACATTTAAAGTAACTAGGGAGTTTCAGTAAGAAGTGGGCAGCCAAAATGACTTAGAGAAGCCTTACATTCTGAAGAAAAAAAATTCATTTTAGAAATCTTCAATTTGCATAAACTGATATTCTAATGAGAGTTTATTTCTTTCAAGAAAAACTGGTGAGTTGATGTACATATCCCATTCTGGTCATGAGACAAAACTTCAATATAAGCAACTGATTGCATTCTTTATTTTGCTTTGGAATTTTTATTAAAAAGCCAAATTCAGATCCCTGAATTAAGAACATAAATAGAAGAACATGCTATTCCTAACGTGTCAGGAAAAATACATACACTGCACCTCTGAAAAGGAGAGTCAAAACCTTCTGCTTGTGGTCTGTCAGCTCTGGGATATTGAAGCTTTTCAAAAAAAAAAAAAAAAAAAAGCTCAAGATTACTGACCCCACAGCATATTGTTGATTCAGATAGATTACAGCAGCAGTAGTCCTTACAGTCATTTATCTTTAGACAAGAGCATTGTTTCACATGATCTAACTTTGGTTTTACAATTGTTAAACTACCAGTTTCTGTAATATGGACCTGAAAAACACTATTAAAAAAAAAATTAAGCAAATGGAGCATAAAAACTGAGTAGTATCTGACAACATCTACAGTTAAGACAGTTTATTTTAATAGGAGTTAGGATATAGTCTATTTCCACTAAAATTTCTTACTAGCACTGTAGTACAAAAAACTTACTACTGAATCAGTTTCAGTGTAAAATGGACTTCATGTGAACTCCTCTAAATAGCAACTGAGGACCAAATTAACTCATCTATGTGAATTTAACAATTTATAGCAACAGAGGGCTCCTCAAACCCAGTCTGACTGGTCACTACAGAGAACCTATGAGACCCTGAAGTTTCACTTGGTACCAAACAATTCTTTTGCTCAGGGCTGCATGACACTACTGGTCTTAGCTGTCTATACAGCAATGAAGCTTTCTACAGACATGATTAAAATACAAAGAACCACAGATTTTTGTGCACTGAAAAAAAGAACATGAGAGATATAACAGTATTAAGTACCAAAAATTTACCATCTCCCTTTTTACCTCAGCATTCCATTATAGACCTGTGAAGTAAATCATTATTATGATGCAAAACACTCAATTAGTAAAGCTTTGTTTCACAAATGAAAGAAATTAGTAGAAGCAAACAAAAAAAAAGGCAAAAAATTAAAATCCTTAGTCTCACCTAGGCCTCCAGGGCCAGCCAAGAGAAACTCTTGTCTGCCTATCCTTTTCACAATTGGCCGTTTCTCATCACTGCAATAAGGAAACAGGTCCTGGGAGACACCAGTATTATAATTCAAAATTATATACTGCGTAGTAAGTGCAAGGCATAAGTAGTATCCATCTACGGCCACAGCACAGGGTTGCTCTGGAGTAAACACTTCCTTGACTATCTGGACTCTGTCTTCAAACACCATGAACATCTGAATGGTCCGACGCTTGACCGAGATGATGCAGACCTCCACACAGAACGGATCCCCACTCACGGGGTTCTCGTTCAACGTGAACGTCACAGCTCCTTTGATCCTGGCACCGGTGGGGACGGGTTCCAAGTTTATCATGTTAACTAGTGTTATCGTGTTGTCACAAAGCACGAGAAGTCTGGTGAGGGCAGAGGCTGCTTTCAACTCGCTCACAGGCTTCTTCAAGCCCAGA